CCTAAGTCCCCTCCCCCACCACCAGAGGAGGCTTCCCCAAGCCCCACCAAATCCTACCATAGCCCAAAACGATGATCCATTGCCCCATATCCAAGACCACCAACACTGTCAAGTCCTAACAAGCCCCTTCCAATTCTGTGTTTCCTCCAGGAAATAGCTGAGCCAACCAGAACCACCATGTGGGTCCAAACTCCCTTCTTTATGAGTGATCTCCACCAAATCCAGAAGGACTTGGGAGATTTTTCCTAGGACCTTGACGGTTATGTGTCAGGACTTCAGGGTTTTATACTAACTTTTGATTTGTCCTGGAAGGACATAGTGCTCATTCTCAAGGAGACTCTCTCCAAGGCAGACTGAGATAGAATTGGGGAGCCCACCATCTAATCTGGGGATAAACTTCATAGTTCCAGTGCAAGGTATCTGGCAGATAACATGGCAGTTCCAGTAACAGATCCTCATTGGAACTATGACACTGCACAAGGGCAATGGTCCCAAGACCATCTTATAATCTAACAAATGGAATGTCAAGATGGCAGTCAAAGCCAATTAATTATATAACAAGCTGGCTTTCATAAACCAGGAAAAGGAAGAAAACCCCACAACCTTTATGGAAAGACTAAGAGAGACTTCAGCTAAACATACTCTTGATCCCAGATGAGAGGCTGGTCTTACAGTTCTTAATGGTCGACTCATCACTCAGGCCACCCCAGATATTAGGAGGAAGCTCCAAAAATTATCCCTAGGGCCAGACATCCCAAGCTCTGAACTCCTTAAGGTGGTCAATTTTGTGTTCTATGGCCAGCACCAGGAGAAGGAAAAAAAAAGGGAAAAGGAAAAACGTAAGGATCTGAGACAGGCTCAACTCCTGGTGGCCTTGCAATGCCAGCCATCACCCCAGGGTCACCCCCTCAAAAGGGAGACACCAAAAGGAGCCTGCTACCATTGCAAAAAGGAGGGACACTGGAGAGATGTCTGTTCCTTAAGCTCCCTAATATGGCCTGTCCTAATGTCCTCAAACAGGACACTGAGAGACTGCCCCACTAACGGGACAACCAGGGGTTCAGCATCCCTTCAAGCTGTCACCACCATGTGAGGCAACCTATGGCACCAATGGGCTCCTCCACCCACTGTTTCCCTCATTGTGACAGAGCCCAGGGTGACCCCTTGACATGGCAGGTAGGACAATTTTCTCTTGGACATGGGAGCCACTTACTGTCTTAGCCTCCTTTATGGTAAGCTTTCCTTCAACTCCTGTCTGGTTATGGGAGTGAAGAGCCTACCAACAAAGCTAACCTAACGTTCATACATTCTTGGGACTCAGTCAGTGCCTTTGAGAGGCTCTATGGGAAAAACAGGTCCTACTAAAGCCAGACCACTCAAACCCAACATCCCTGGTCCAACCAGGAGATAAGGTCCTAATTAAAACCTGGATAGATTGAGCTCCTGGATCCCAACAAACGCCTTTATGGAAGGGACCCTATACTGTTCTTTTATCCACCCCTACAACCATCAAGGTCCCAGGAATCTCCAGCTAGATCCATCTCTCCCGAGCCAAGCCTGCTGTGACCTCTAACAAAGAGGACAACCCCTGATACCTCTGAGTATACCGGTGAGCCACTGGAAGACCTCAAACTGCTCTTCAAAAAGGGGCCATCTCAGATAAATCCTAAAATCCTCTATTCTGTTATGTCCAATACCTTAGTGTAGTCCTGCAGGGGGACTTCCAAGACTACACCCTTAAAGAAATCCATAGGTATGGTACCTCTTTGATCACAAGCCACTTCTGCCTCATGCTGCCCCGTAGCCCCCCTCACTTAATACTGCTCAACGCTATCTCAACAACACCAATTCTAATTCCCCTTGCTGGATATGTGTGGGACCCCACTTAGCCATTGTAACTCCCGCACCTGCTTCATTGTGGGCCACCACCAATAACCCCATTAGTTTCACCTATACCCGTCTCTGGATACCAACATGGACCTCCCAGCCCCACGTAAGTGCAAGAAACTTCCAAAGAAAAGTCATGGAACACAGCACAAAAATCCTAAATGCTCAGGGGCCCCTCCCAACACCTGCTATTTTGGGACTGTTATATACTCAACTTAAACTCTCTAATATGACCTTCCCAATCTGTGTTAGTACTAACCCAACATCTGGGACCCCAGTGGGTTTTATTCCCTTGTCTCCCTGCCTTTATAATTTCAGCCTAACTTCAGCAGGTGAGTCATTCTTTTGGGAAAGTGTTTCTGATTGCTACTTTAACACTGTTAAAGAGGAGCTTTTGATAAGGATCCCAGAACATATGTTCCAGGAGTTTTTCCAACAGGGGACAAGGCTGTTAATAAGGTGTATTGAAGAAGGAGGAGGTTATCTGGGCTGATGGGTGGCCCTGACAATATTGAGACATGGAGGACCAAGGACGGGGGGTGATGGTGACCTTTGGGGGAAGGTTAAGAGTGGGTCTTTTAAGGGGCACCTAGGTGGCCCAGTTGATTAAGCGTCTCACTTCTGCTCAAGTCATGATCTCATGGTTCCTGGGCTCAAGACCCACATCAGGCTCTGTGCTGACAGCTCAGAGCCTGGAGCCTGACTCGATTCTGTGTCTCCCTCTCTCTCTGCCCCTCCCCTGCTCACACTCTCTCTCTCAAAAACAAACTTAAAAAAAAATTAAAAGAGTGGGTCTTTTAACAGTGTTAAAGTAGCAACGCAACTCTACAACATCTAGTCATGACCTCTTTGCCCACCTTCATATTGGCTTTGGTCCTCTTTAGGGCCACTGCTGGCCCTAGGGGAGCCCCTTTTGAAAGTGCCTTTCTTTTCTTTTCTTTTCTTTTTTAAAAAAAATTTTTTTTAATGTTTATTTATTTTTGAGACAGAGAGAGACAGAGCATGAACGGGGGAGGGTCAGAGAGAGGGAGACACAGAATCTGAAACAGGCTCCAGGCTCTGAGCTGTCAGCACAGAGCCCGATGTGGGGCTCGAACTCACGGACCGTGAGATTGTGACCTGAGCCAAAGTCGGACGCTTAACCGACTGAGCCACCCAGGCGCCCCAAAGTGCCTTTATTTTCTATTCTAACCAAGGTTCACCTGTGTCCTCAGAAGGGACTCTATTTTTGGAACTCAAGCATATGTGACCCTTCCAGATGGATGGAAGGGCACTTGTTCTTTGGCCTGGTTAGTTCCAGATGTATCCCTCATAGGAGTTACTCAAAGAGTTTCCCTCTCTATGGTAACTGAAACACCCATATCCAAGCAGGAGGTCCTTACACTCCTCTTGCTAGGGGCCCTCCTAGGGAGCAGCCTTAGGACTGGCCACAGGGATCACGAGGACTGTCCTTCTCCACTCTCTCAAGAATTAGGCAAATCCATTCAAGAAACTATGTAAGTCTTGGCAACCTTAGGCCACCAACTCAACTCACTGGCAGGTAGGACAATTAATTTTCTTTTAGACACGGGAGCCACCTACTCTGTCTTAACCTCCTTTACAAGTAAGCTTTCCTTCAACTCCAGTCTGGTTATCCTGGTGGTCACTCTCAGGGGTAGTCCTCCAAAATCAAAGGGCATTAGGTAGCTCACTTTAGCCCAAAGGGGCACATTAGTCCAGGAAGAATGTTGCTTTTATGTCCATCAGTCAGGTTATTCAAGAAAGTATCAAAAGACTTCAAATGCAAGCCCATCGTCTCCTATCAGCAAGCACATCCACCATCTCCCTATCCTGGGGTCTTATGTCATGGATACTTCCCTTCATGGGGCCTTTCCTTTGCGTGATCCTTTTGCTTTTTGAACCATGTCTTCTTAATCTTATAACTAAGTTCATCTCCTCTTGTGGTAGACAAGACCAGCTTCACCTCTTACTGCAACAAGGATATCAGCCCCTTTCGAGAAAACATCAAGACTACTATAGCCCCTGGACTGGAGTGGTCAAACCTTCTGAGACCAGGACACAAGCCCTATTCCACCCTATAACCTCATACTACCTCCTCATGGCCCAGACAGATATCAAAGAGTGAAACTCTAATGAAAAACACTGCCCCTGTTCAGTAGGAAGCAGCTACAGAAACTTGACTTTGGCCCTCAACCTGAAAGATTTCAGAGCCCCAAGTCCTTGAAGGGGAAATAACAGTAGGCACTTGGTTAGCTATGAGCTGGAGGCAGGGAAGGCCATAAACAGGTTACGTTTAGAGACTTGAGGGCAAAAGGTTCCCAACTTTCCAGGGCTCTAAGACCCAGAGCAGCAGGTACAAGGCTTGCGCTTCTCTCTAACTCTTGTGCCCCAGAGTAACCCTAGACTTCATTACAATGCATTTGTATTAGTTTGCCATCCCCGTTGGGAAACGGACATGACAGTTTCCCGAGACAGTTTCGACAGGAACCTAGCAGGGTCAAAGTTCCCCCTACCGGTAGGAGTGAAAAAACAACTGTAGCCTCGGGGCAGTCGCCAACTCCAGGCCTGCCCACTCCATCCTGAAAGTGTACCGCCCTTTAAAAAACTGCTTTGTGCTTGCTACCTTCCTTCTCACGGTCTTTATGTCAGTGCGGATCCTCGTGTAAATCTTTTGTGGGGAATGCAAGAACCGAGACTTCCACTGACACAAGGCAAGCTTCCACGGGTAACAATAAAAGGTGTTTCGAAGGGGGGCCAGGAATCCACTCCATATACCAAAAAGTGAAGAATGTTGTCAAAAGAGCAGTGAAATCTAGACTTCGCTAGCACCGATGGTGTTCTGGGCACTGCCGTGACACCTGCGAAACAAGTTCCAACAGGGTCGACCTCGCTTTGCTCGGCCCCGCGGAGCCAAGGAAAAGACGTCTTATGGGAGTCGACCCTGGGGGAGCTGCCGGCGGTGCTGTCAATCTGCAAAACCCCAGAGGCTCAGAAAAGAGGTTTGCGCAAGGGCAAGAGGAAAAGGGCCGCGCGAGGGTGTCACGGACGGGAGCGGCGGTGAGGCTGTCACAGGGCGGCCTCCCCCCTCCCGGCCTCGGGCCCCAGTCACTCACATGCGGGGCCCGCGCCCCCTCGGGCTCCTCCCGCCTCGGGGACTTCAGCCTCCGGGCGAGGAGGGTAAGCCGCCAACTTCCTGCTTCCGGGCGCGCAACCCGGAAGCAACTCCCACGCCACAGGCAAGGCTACGCGTGCTAGGGTAGCTCCTTCCTCACGCCTCGCGCTTGCGTCAGAAACAGAACCCGCGACTTGGCCGCGCGCACGCGCGCGCGCGAAGTTCCGCGAGATCTGGAGAGTGCGGGTTCCTGCTCCCCCTGGCGTCAGGTTCTTTCTGCTCGGCCCACTTGAGTCTTTACCGGGGTCTGTCCTCTTCCGCGCTCGCGCGGATTCAGCAGCTGAGCTGATTCATCCAACAGCCTTTGATTGGGCCCCCCCTACTCCGTGCCAGGCAGCGTGTTAGGCATTAAGGAGTGGGAAGGATAGGTAACGGAGGGCAGGCCCTTACCTCTAAGAGCTCTTAGTCTAAAAGAAAGACAAGCAAACAAATCATACAAATAAACACACAGCCCACTCATAAATATTTATTGGAGCTTACTCTGTGCGAGACATTACCAACCCTTTATGGTTGTGAAACCAATTCAACAACCCTATCATATAAATAGTCCCTATAGGGGCCAAAAGGCAGGCCACCCAAAGACGGACACTTTGGCATGATGATTATTTTGAATTAAAAGCAACCAAGGGGCACCTGGCTGGTTCAGTTGATAAAGCTCACAACTCTTGATCTCAGGGTGGTGAGTACAAGCCCCACATTGGGCGTGAAGTCTACTTTAAAAAAATAAAAGCAATGGGGCGCCTGGGTGGCGCAGTCGGTTAAGCGTCCGACTTCAGCCAGGTCACGATCTCGCGGTCCGTGAGTTCGAGCCCCGCGTCGGGCTCTGGGCTGATGGCTCAGAGCCTGGAGCCTGTTTCCATGTCTGTGTCTCCCTCTCTCTCTGCCCCTCGCCCGTTCATGCTCTGTCTCTCTCTGTCCCAAAAATAAATAAACGTTGAAAAAAAAATTTTTTTTAAATAAAAGCAATAAAAACCCAGCAGATTTAGGAAAAGCTCTCTACCCACCCCCTCAACTGCCTGCCTATACCAGAAAGAGCTATTAATAGAGATCCCTCTTTACCTAAGAAATTTATAGGGCAATCTTTGTTTTCCAAACATCTCTCGCCTTACTACTAATAGAACAAGGCCTTCCTTTCCTTTGTATTCCCAAGTTCTGCCCCTCTCCTTAGCTCAGGATGTCTCATGTTGGCTATCTTTGGAATTTCGTGTGTGTGTGTGTGTGTGTGTGCGTGTGCATTCTCCACATGTATGAAACTAAATTTGATTTTCTCTTGTTATTCTGTCTCATGTCAGTTTGGTTCTTTGTCCAGCTGGAAGGACCTTGAAATGCAGAAGAAATTCTTTCTCCCTGAAAATTTATCCTCATGCCAACCAAACTGAGGTTTACGGAAAGGTTAACTTGCTCAAGATTACACAAAGAGTGGTGGGGTCACAATTAGAACCCAGGCTACTTATTTTGCCCAGTCCTTAGTGCCAAGATCCTAACTTTTCTGCTAGAGACCTGCCATCAAAATGTTACTGGGTTCATACTAATAAAGCTAACTACAAAGGTAGTGTGATACTGATGCAGGGATAGGCAAACCAATTGTGCAGAATAAAGAGACCAAAATGAGAACCACACATATATATACACTTGCTTTATGACAAAGAGGTACAACTGAGGACTGAGGAAAGGACAATGCTATCAATAAATAGTTCTGGCTCGGTTATATATACATATAGGAAAAAATGAAACTTAACTCCAACCTCACACCATACACCCAAATAAATTCTATGTGTATTATAGCTCTATATGAAAAAAAATTGAAACAAAACTTTAGAGTAGCTCTGTCCAATACCATTGCCATGCAAGTGACTAGTGAGTACTTAAATGTGGCTAGTCAGAATTTAGATGTTCTGTAAAAGATAAATTGATACAGTTTACCACACTAAAATTAGCAACCAGAGCACCTGAGTGGCTCACTTGGCTAAGCATCCGACTTTGGCTCATGTCATGATCTCTTGGCTTGTGAGTTCAAACCCCATGTCAGGCTCTCTGCTGTCAGCACGGAGCCCACTTCAGTTCCTATCTCCCTCTCTTTCTGCCCCTACCCAGCTCATGCTTTCTCTCTGTCTCAAAAATAAATAAAAACATCAAAAAAATTAAATTAGAAACCACCTCTCATCATCAAAAGACACAAGGTACTGGGGCCTGGGTGGCTCAGTCTGGTGAGTGTCCAACTTCAGCTCAAGTCATGATCTCGCGGCCCGTGAGTTTGAGCCCTGCATCGGGCTCTGTGCTGACAGCTCAGAGCCTGGAGCCTGCTTCAGATTCTGTCTCCGTCTCTTTCTGCCCCTCCCCCACTCATGCTCTGTCTCTCTCTGTCAAAAATAAATAAATATTAAAAAAAAAAAAAAAAGACACAAGGCAGGGCTTGATCTCACGACTGTGAGATCTTGACTTGAGCCAAAATCAACAGTCAGACTCTCAACTAACTGAGCCACCCAAGTGCCCTAGAAGAAACAATCTTTAAAAAAATTTTTTTTAATGTTTTTTAAATTTATTTTTGAGACAGAGAGAGACAGAGCATGAACGGGGGAGGGTCAGAGAGAGGGAGACACAGAATCTGAAACAGGCTCCAGGCTCTGAGCTGTCAGCACAGAGCCCGACGCGGGGCTCGAACTCACGGGCCGTGAGATCGTGACCTGAGCTGAAGTTGGCCGCTCAACCGACTGAGCCACCCAGGCGCCCCTAAACAATCTTTAAAGATCAGTTTGGCATAGCCAGAAAGAACTTGAATGCTAACACTTTGACCTGTGGGCAGTGGCGAGCCACTGAAGGTTTTTGAGTGGGGTTGTGATGGGATCAGAGTTCTGTTATGGCCATATAAATCCCGTGGGATGGACGAAGGCTAGATTGGAGGAGGAAAAATTAACTTTGGAAAGTTCAAGGGAAAAACAACTCTGATGGTCTAGGTAAAAGGAATGGAAGAACGAGAATCTGCTCAAGGAAGATTTCCCAGGTACAACAAATCAGATTGTAGAAAGGTTCAGGGGAGGAAGGCAGGAGAAAGGCTTGGGCTCCAGCCCACACTAAATCCTGTGGGCCCTGCAGCTTGTCGCCTCCTCCTGTTGGTCACTCAGAGCCCTCCACTCTAAACCTGGCTGGTGGGAGAAGAGATCATGAATGTGACAGTGCTTGGCAATCTGGAATGTGTGTGGGGATGTAGCTGAAGGAGGGTGAGGAATCAAAAGATGTGTGGTGACTAGGACAACAGTGACTGGGGCACAGGAGGAGGAACAGTTTGGGGGAGAGGATAGGGACGGAAATGATGGATAAACATACTCATTTCTTTAGTCTGGGCTTCTGTTGGCATTTAGAAAAACCCTCGAGAAGGTTTCCAGGTAGTAACACTCTGTGCCACAGAATTGCTTGTGGTGACTTAGCTCCGCCAGCCACTGGAGGTTCTCTCTGTTCAGGTTCCGGCCTGGACCAGGCCCTGTGGGAATGCTGAACTGAACCGAACTTGGACGTGGTCCCTAACGTGGGCTCTTATCAATCTACTTGGAGAGAAGAGAATGTGTACAAGCGGCTAGACAACAATGAAAGGTGGCAGAGGACTAAAGACCAAGAAGGGAGAAAGGGAGAGAACCTACTCGCAGACAGGAAGGGTAGAGAGGATTTCTGAAGAAGTTGGGACCCAGGCATAGGCGAGGTTTGGGAAGCATTGCAAGGAAAGGGAATGGCCTGAGCAAAGGCCCAGAAAGTGGAAATGTTGGTGGCACATTTAAGGCATGGATGAAATGGTAGGAAATCAGGCTGGGGAAGTCAGGGTGAAGGCCCTTCAAGCCCAGGCCAAGTGGTTTGGGACTTTATTTTATTTAGTTAGTTTTTATAAATTATTTTTTTAATGTTTATTTATTTATTTATTTATTTATTTATTTATTTATTATTTATATTGAGAGAGAATACAGGGAAGGGGCAGAGAGAGAGAGAGAGAGAGAGAGAGAGAGAATCCCAAGCAGGCTCTGTGCTGACAGCATAGACGGAGGGGCTTGATCCCATGAACCCTGAGATCATGACCTGAGCTTGAAATCAAGCTTAACCAACTCAGTCCCCAGGCGCCCTGGGGACTTTAACAGGCCAAGGGAAACCATTTCACATTTCTTGGCAAAGTGACATACGAGATATCTTGGGAGGAAAGCTTTGGCTGGTGTGTGTGCAGGATGCATTAGTGGGGAAAAGCCAAAAGGCAGGGAACCCCACAAGGGGGCTTCTAAAATAAGCCTGGTGTTAAAATAAGCCTGGTAATTTGGGAAAAAAGAATTGATAAGTCTTGATGATGTATCACTTACAGGGAGCAGAGAGAAAGAGGATGATCTTCAAGTTTCTAGCCCTCAAAATGATGTTTCTGTAAGAGTTTATAATTTTGGTTTTAATAAAGCACATTTATTAAGAAGACAAATTAAGCTTAACAGAATAGATGAAGTAAATACAAGACACTCAGAGTAATTTAAGGTGGACTATTAGTTATACTCAGAAATCTCTGTTAATTCCTCCCTGAAGTCACCCAATGTTCTCTTGGGGACAAAAGGCCAACAAATACAGAGTCTCTTGGGGAAGGATTTTGGAATGAGACAACAAGACACTGACTTATTCTTGTGTAAAACTCCAATGCATCCTCACTGTGCCCTAAGGCACCCAAAATAGATAGTAAGGAACTACATAAGATCCAGAGAAAGGTAACTCAAATAGCAATAGACAGAATGGACCAATGATAAAGACTTTTCTTTCTGTTCAGCTCAAGGGTCATAAAGAGGACATGAACACGAGACTGCAGAAAGTGTAAAATTTATTATACCTTACCTTAGCCCAGCATTCATCAGTGTAAAATGTAGTTCTCTGCCCATTATTAATTCAACAAAACCTGAACACCCTATTCTCAGTACTCTGCGAGAAAGGCACAGAAATGAAGGAGAGGCCCAGCCTGCTCACTGTCTGGTTGATCTCTACAACACCGTATACCCTTATTCCTACCTGACAATTAAGGGAACTAGGATTGAACTAACTGTACGTAGATACTCACAGCTGTGATACTGAACACGTCAC